GCATTTCATTTCTTTAATTTAAGCCAGCTATGTGCAGGCCCAACCAAAATATCCCCCGGCCCTTAGATATCTGGTCGATGATTGTTATATTTAGAATCTTCTGTCTGCTTATTGATTTTTTTTTTTCCTCTATTTTGTTTTCTACTGTACAAATAATTATATAGGTGGTTCATTAGTTGATTAATAATGATAATTATGTTAGAATGTAAAAATACTAGAGGGAAAATAGTTCGTTAATTTTTGTTGAAATGTGAAGCCACATTTTTTTTGTTAACTAAGGTGTCCAGGCGTGCACCTTGACGAATCTTCAGAGAAAATTGTTCCACAGCAACCTACTGTTACGACTCTCCAAGTAAATCATAGGAAAATATACTACTTTTACGTTCAGTGAGGAATCGAACCTAGGACTATGAGTTAAAGCTATGCACAATCACCTTGATTCACCCTTACCCTTAGGCTACCTATGGGTGGGTAATGTGAAGCCACTTTCACATGGTTTGCAGCCAATTAGCTCACAAACTTTGACAAATGAGTTTACTAACATGCATGGTAATTATTTTTTGGGTAAGAAATGGTGGGCTAGGTAACTTCAGGGTGACAAGAGATTATGAGAAAAATATGTGAATGCATTAAATGGTTACAATACTCTCCCAAAGTGTCTTTCCTCATTGTGAGAAAAGTGTTTTTGTGCTTTCCTATTCATTAGAGAGAGATTTTGCACATCTTACTTATGGTCTTAATAAAATCCTCATAGTCTTTACCTATGTAATGTTGTGCTGCCTTTGGAGAAACCATGGTATTTATAGGGAACCATGGCCTCCAAATCAAAAGCAAATTTACCACATTCACATTGTCGAGTTCGAACATTGCAGCCATTTAATGCCTATGTATACTTTTGGTCATAATCTCTTGCCACCCCTAAATTACCTAACCCACCATTTCTTATTCAAAATTAATTACCATGTATGTGTGCTTATAATTAAACTCATATGTCAAAGTATGTGAGCTAACTGCATTTAAACCATGTGAAAGTGGCTTCATATTTTAACATAGAAACCTCTCGAAATTATGCATGAAAGAAATCAGTGAGTTCGATCTGGATCACCCATATGTTGTGANTCTCAATCGGATCTTGGATGAGAGAGTTATGCCCAGATTATGAAATGACGTCAAAACTGTCCAAATTCACTTAATTAATTCCGTTTTGCAATTAATGCCTCCATTTGCATCCTAAATCAAAATAGAATAATAATGAGTATATTTAGGCAGCAAATAAGTATAAAAGACTAGACATTAAGGGGGTTAAATATGATAGTTTGCATTCTCATCAGCAACCTACCGCCGCAACTCCCCAGGTAAATCACAGGAAAAGATACAACTTTTGCGACTAGCGAGGAATTGAACCTAGGACTGTGGGTTGAAGCTCTGCACAACCACCTTGATTCACTCTTACCATTAGGCTACCCATGGATGGGTAATGTGAAGCCACTTTCACATGGTTTGCAGGCAATTAGCTCACAAACTTTGACAAATGAGTTTGCTAACATGCATGGTAATTATTTTTGAGTAAGAAATGGTGGGCTAGTAACTTAAGGGTGACAAGAGATTATGACAAAAATATGTGAATGCATTAAATGGTTACAATACTCTCCCAAAGTGTCTTTCCTCATTGTGAGAAAAAGTGTTTTTGTGCTTTCCTATTTGTTAAGTAAAGCTTCAATACGTTGACGTTTTAATAAGGTAGTAAGTGACAGATCTTAGCCATTAATCTCAGCCTAATCTAACGGTGGAAATCAGCCCAAATGGTCAACATATTTAAAGCTGAAATTTACTGCAGAAACAGATCAAAAACAGATTGAAAAACTCACTCTCTCTCTCGTGTTTTCGTCAAGTGCTGGGTGCTTAGTTTGTTTCCTTCAAGTTGTAATCAGGTCACATTTTTTCTTTAGAATTGTGGGTAGAAGAAGCTGTGTATTCTTCTGGTTTAGATGCTTGTTTAAGTTGTCTTGGTTGTGTTGATTACGGGTAGATTGAGGGGAAGTGTGAGAGGAGAGATTTGGGGGTTATTAAGATTTCTTGTTATAATCTGTAACGAATTCAATCCTTATAGTGCAGAGAGTCTCAAATTACTTTGAGCTCAACGTGGATGTAGTTTATTCCATTGGAATAAACGAACCACGGTAAAATTGGCTGTGTTCTTGATTCTTGATTCTTTATTGTTTGTGTTGTTTCTTGAGTGTTTGCTGGTTGTGTTTGATAGAGGAACAGGTTAGGTTGAGTTTGATTGGTTCTTAACACTATTCATTAGAGAGAGGTTTTGTATATCTTATTTATGGTCTTAATAAAATCCTTATAGTCTTTACCCATGTAATGTTGTGCTGCCTTTGGAGAAATGAACCATGGTATTTATAGGGAACCATGGCCCCCGAATCAAAAGCAAATTTACTACATTCACATTGTCGAGTTCGAACATTGCAGCCATTTAATGCCTATGTATACTTTTGGTCCTAGTCTCTTGCCACCCCTAAATTATCTAACCCAGCATTTCTTATTCAAAATTATTGCCATGTATGTGTGCTTATAAACTCATATGTCAAAGTATGTGAGCTAACTGCATTTAAACCATGTGAAAGTGGCTTCATATTTTAACATAGAAACCTCTCGAAATTATGCATGAAAGAAATCAGTGAGTTCGATCTGGATCACCCATATGTTGTGAGTATATTTTATAATATTCTGATTCATTTGCATATTCCTTGAAGCTCAGAAGAGTTTTCTAGATTTTAAGCACTCTGAAGTTTCCCTTTAATTCATGATGGGTTGCAGGAAAGACATGATTATTGGACTAAATGGTAATAGACAAAAAGTTCATTTTCGTCTAAATCAGGATGTGAAATGTAAACACTATTTGATAAGATCATTTTCTAACCCATTTGATATTGGGAAGTGAAAAGGCTCCAAGAGTTTTAAAAGAAAAGATGTGGAGTACAGTAGCACTCTACCTAAGTGTTGATATATAAACAACTTCAATTATTACATTTCTAATGTGATATAAAAACGTTAGGTGAGATGCCCAAAGATAAGGTAAATTATTAAATAATTAAGGTAAACAACTTGAGTTTTTAATTAAAAGATTTTAACTATAAATCCTGAGAAGTCATATGAAAACGTAAAATTAAAAAGTTGCTACTATATATATGAAAATTAACATTATTATAACAAGATTTTTGTTCAAAATCATGCTCATAATTACAAAGTACAAGCTATTTTTTTCATTAATTACAACATTAAACCTTAACTATCTTTAGGTGACGGAGTGATTTGATAAAGACTCTTGAGTGTATTATTCAAAAGATCCTGAGTTTAAGTCTCATCTCAGTTGTTAATAAGAGTAGTCACTAGAACTTTTACCCGATCGATAGTTCCAGGATCTCCAAGGATTAGTTGAGGTGCCCGTAAATTGGCTCAAACACCTCCAATCATTATAAAAGAAAAAAAAAATTTAAACCTTCGACATGACTAATTTGAATCAATAACATAGTGCCATTTAATCACAAAATCAAACTATCTCAGCATTTCAATGGAAGAGGTGGAATGCTCTGTTCATGCCTGAAGAAGTTGTCTGGATCAACTTTGGTCTTCACTCTTACCAATCTCTTTTAAAGTTACCTTTGAAATACTTCTCACCCCACACTCCAGCTTCAATGAAACTTGTATTACTCTTCTTGTTCACACCCAAATCAAAATCCCTGCAATTGACATATGCAGCCCTGGGAGACTTTGAAACATAAGGAGTCATGTAATTGTATAGCCTCCTAATCCACTCAATGTGCTTTGTGGCATTCTTAACGTCTCCATCTCTCCAGCCAGCCACATACCCGATTTCAAATATGTTTCCTTTTCTGTGAGGGAAAAGAGTTTGTGATTCTGAAATCCTGCTCATTTCTCCACCATACGGAAGCCATACCATTGATGGATTGTCTTCTTGCAATAACATTTTCCATATCCCCTCAAGAACTGTTTCAGGAATGGGTTCCTCAACAAAGTCTGATTTGGCTTTGAAAGAGTTCTTGAATCCATTTTGTCGTTGAAGTAGAACTTCGGGAGGAGAGTTACTTGGAAAAAAGGCATAAGTAACCACAGACAGGATCCAGGTTGTTTCATTGCAATCTTTTCGCGCCAAACCCAGCTCAGGGAATCTCTCTTTCATTATTTGAAGAAGACTATCAGCATCACCAAGATGTAGTGCACTGTATGTGGTTAACACAGTTCTCTCGCCATTTTGGCCACCAGTGGCCAATTGTATGAGAACTCTAAGAAAGAGATCCTCATCAAGCGAATGCGCAACCTGTTGCCATTTATGGAGGATCTTTGTGGCACCTTGTTCCAGGGTCCTTGAAACTGTAAAAATTGTCAGAGTTGGAGGCACTGGAACCAATTTTATCTTGCATGAAAGAATAATTCCAAAGCTTCCTCCTCCACCTCCTCTTATAGCCCAAAATAGATCTTCGCCCATGGCTGCTCGATCAAGAACTCTGCCTCTAGCGTCAACAATTTTAGCATCAAGGACGTTGTCAACACCAAGACCATATTTTCTCATCAAGAAACCATAAGCACCTCCTGTGATGTGCCCACCAATGCCTAAGCTTGGGCAACCACCAGCAGGGAAAGCATGAATATCGCTTTTCTCCGCAATTCTGTAGTAGACTTCACCAAGTGTTGCACCAGCCTGAACCCAGGCACTGTCATCATCAATATCTATGATTATAGATCGAATCTTGGCAAGGTCTACTACAATGAAAGTTTTTTCAATTTCTGACGCATAAGAGATTCCCTCAAAATCATGACCTCCGCTTCGGACTCTGACAGGAATGCCGAGGTCTTTGGAGCAAATAATGGCTGCTTGGACATGGGATTCATGCAGAGGCGTGAAGATAATCGCGGGCTTTGGTACTGAAGGCCCTGCAAACCTGAGGTNTTTGATGTACATATTGTTTAGGATGGTAAAATTGATTTTAAAAATTTTGCAGGTAAGGGACATTTATGATGGTGGGGATTATCTTGTTCTTGTCACAACTGACAGACAAAGTGCTTTTGATAGAATTCTTGCTTCTATTCCTTTCAAAGGCCAGGTTAGTATAATTATTTAGTATAATTCTTATCTCTCTCTCTCTCTTTTTTCATAGAGAAAACGGATTTACCCTAAATATTGTTGAAAGAGGTAGCATTTAGAAGCATGGTGAAAATTTTGCAGCTTGGTGAGTAAGTAGATGATTGAAGGTAATGCAGATTAGTTATGTGACCGAAAATGTATGGCGTTTTGAATTTCAGGTTCTTAATGAGACAAGTTTGTGGTGGTTTGATCGAACAAGACACATAACTCCAAATGCAGTCGTGTCATCTCCTGATAAAAATGTTACAATTGCAAAGAAGTGTTCAGTTTTCCCTGTTGAATTTGTTGGTGAGTAACAAATGGTGTTGTCCCTTGGCTGGAATTTTTGCTTGTGCAGGCTGTAACTTCTTGTTTCTCCTTTTCTGTGGAAATTGGGAGGAAATAGCTTTTTATATAAGGTTTCTGTTCTTGAATTGCTCTAAATATTGTTTAGGGCTGGATGAATAGAGAATATAGATTTCTTGGTATTTTGTTGTTTTTGTTATTATTCAAACACTGTGATTTAGATCAACGTGTGTGTGCATACTGATGGAGGGGGACATAATTTCTCTTTCTGGTCAGCATGTTGCAGGGATGAATTTTCTTATTTTAACCTTTTGAAGCTGTCTGTTTTATTTTGAAGAGGTTTCGGATCCCTAAATTTGTCTATATATGTTGCTATTATGTAGTTAGAGGTTTTGTGACTGGAAGTACTGATACATCACTGTGGACGGTCTACCACAAAGGCGTCCGGGATTATTGTGGCAATGCTCTCCCAGATGGTGCAATTATCATACAATCAATCATTCTGTTTCCGTGTTAAATTTTCTCTATTTGACGGCCTATCATTTTGCTGTAGGCTTGGTAAAAAACCAAAAACTTCCTGCAAATATACTCACACCAACAACTAAGGCTGAAGATCACGATGCACCTGTAACTCCAGCAGAGGTTTGATCACATACACATGCTTTAAAATTTTATTAGGAATTCCTATTTCAGTATAATGTTTGTTTGTTTTTCTCTTTTTATTTATCTTATGTTTGTGGAAGCTAATCCCTATTGATTGGAATTGTTTTGGTCTCCTTTCATGAGTGGTCACGTTATGCATTTTCTTTGCAGATAATTCGACTTGGACTGATGACTGAAGCTGAGTTTGATGAAGCAAGTAGGAAAGCATTAAGCTTATTTGAGTACGGACAGGTGACTCCATAGCCCTTGCTTAACTTTTGTGGTCATGAGTTGGTTGAGATGTGATGATTCAGAATCTTTTACTACATTAGTCAATGAATCAGGTTTTATAAACAGATCTAGCTATACTAGAAGATAATTTCCTCTCAAGTCCAGTATTGCTTATATTTCTTTTTGTATTTTTCACTTAATGGTATAGGCTGCTTGGTAATTTATTTTTTATGTTTGCTTCTAACGTTAATGTCTTTGAGATTGCAGCGTGTCGCTTTAGAGCATGGCCTGATATTAGTAGACACAAAATATGAATTTGGAAAGGGCTGTGATGGTTCAATTCTTTTGATTGATGAGGTTAGAAATCAGCGTCACCGAAACATTCATTACTCTCTCTCTCTCTCTAACCCACATCAACTTGCACAAGTATACTAATATTATTCTGACAAGTTTCTGTAATTCTAGGTGCATACACCTGACTCAAGCAGGTACTGGATTGCTCATTCTTATGAAGAGCGTTTTCAGAATGGTCTTGAACCTGAAAACGTTGATAAGGTATGTATTTCTTTTTTTGATGTTTGCTTGTTATCTCTCCAGTATGTATATGTGTTTTGATGTTGGCAAAGGCGTTACTAGCAACCTCATTTTTGTGTGCGGTAAGTTTTAGCAATTGCATGGGTATGTGAATTTGTTATGTTTTGTGTGCTTTCTCACTTTTCTGTACTTGGATTAACTGTTGTGTCATTCGATTTCAACAACTCTTGACATTAAAGTGTTTAAAACTTTTAGGAGTTTCTGAGATTGTGGTTCAGAGATCACTGCAATCCATATGAAGATGAGGTAATTCACATAAAATCCTTCAGTTATATATATTTGCTTAATTATTTTGTGCTTCTAGGAATATAGGCCAAACTCTTATTTTCTTATGCATTTCAGGTCCTCCCTGATGCTCCTCAAGAACTTATTTGCGAATTAGCTTGGCGGTTAGTGTTTTATGTCTTTTTGCATAGTAATGAGGTCACGTTATTAACATCAAAGGAATTAATCGAGCTAAGAAAGTCCTTTGGGTGATATTAGTAGCTCTGTGATGGACCAGCAATATGCATGGCCTTAATGGTCTTTCTCGAAATCTATACTTCATAATTTTGAATAATAATAATAATTATTCCTTATTCAATTCAGCTGCTATACTATAATGGAAATTCCTAATAAAACAAGATTTTTCTAGAATTTTGAATTTCTGATTAATTTAAACTATTTGGCTTTGTAATTGCTGTCAAATTTTGTCCGAATGAGATGATCATCATGTTTACCTCTGTGTTTTGTTTTTGAAATTTCTCTACCTTTGTGTTTTTAATACTAGTTATCTTTTATCATAAGTTTGAACTTATGTTAGTCTTTGATAACAGATACATATTTTTGTACGAGGCCATAACAAAATCAAGATTTGAGTTGCCATTGACTGAGGTAAGATTTAGCACTCAATTACCCTGTTATCTTGTGACATTTTAGTGAAAATATTAGTTTTCTTCATGCAGGAGCCTATACATGATCGTATCACGAGGAATGTTTCATTGGCATTATCAGCTCTGTGGTAACTTGAAACCTGTTGCTTTGAAGATGAAAATTATAGTGAGAAATTAATACACAATTATATGATAAGGCATTAGGTTTCTTGATGTACTTCGGTCAGTGATCTTGGGATTTTGTATTCAAGATAAGGTTTAATATCAAGAGGTTCTGATTGATATAAATGAGGTGGCGGGATAGGCCAAATTATTTTGGAGCCAACTCAGTAAATGTGTGTTGTGCTACACAAGTCTGATTTGGTCTGCTCGTTTATTTTGTATTGTTAGTTATGTTGACTCTTGTAGTCTGGAAATAATAGTTATCAAGAAATTTAATTTACCTATTTATTGTCCTGATGACTCTTGTAAACCAACCAGTACATTGTTTATGGTTTTGAGCTGTGGCAAATATTTAGTCCCAGCATTTGGACTATAACTTAGACAAGATGATGTATTCTGTAAAGTAATGCTATGTATAAATCTGGATCCAAATTGATATGGGTGTAAATGCGTATACGGTTTATGTTAGCACCATTTTGATTATAGAAAAATAGAGTGAGCTCAAAACTTTTCTATAATTAATGTAGTGTTAATGCATAAACATCAATATTAGTTGAGATCCAGGTTATGTGATTTTTGTAAGATGAGATAACTAGAATATTGGAAGGAAAGAAGGAAAAATGACAGGTTAAGAAATTGAACTTTAGCCATGCACATGGCTGTCCTAACTCCGGTCTAGTGACACTGCCTGGCATGGTTGTAAATCCATATTCGACTATTCGTTATCTGCTCGTTATCAGGATTTATTATTTTTGGACTTAGTGATTTAACAGAATCAGTGTGTTTCAAGTGAATTTAGGCGGCCTGATGTAGATGCGGGTTGACTAATCAAATTATCGTGTAAGACCAGACCATTCATCAAGTAAACAAGACATCTGCCATCTATTTAACCCGCTGCTTGGTGGAAAGCAAGAATCAAGAATGGCTGAAGTCTGAAGAAAGCGTGAAGTTGTTTGGGTATTGGGCAAGTTCTTTTGTAATTAGAGTTAAGTGGGCTCTGAAACTGAAGGGAATCCACTTCGAGTACGTTGAACAGGATCTCAAAAACAAGAGCCCCTTGCTATTGCAATACAACCCAGTTCTTAAAAAGGTACCAGTTCTTTTTACACAATGGTAGACCATTGGCGGAATCACTCCTCATCATGGAATATATTGATGAGATATGGAAACAGAATCCACTCCTCCCAGAAGATCCCTATGAAAGGGCCCAGGCAGGCTTTTGGGTCAAATTCTTCGACGAGAAGAGAAGAAGCAACCTTAGCTCTTTTAGCATATGTTCAAATAAGTTACAATAATACTAATCTCACTAATCCCATATGAGAGCTTGTGATTGACTTGGTTAGATGGGATCCATTATTAGAGAGACAGATCTCATGTAAATTGACGAATTGTGAACTGACATGTGACGTTAGTAAGAGAAGGTTAGTGAGAAGTGTTAGTGAGTGTAGTGTTACTCAGAGAGGAAGCCATTTTTCGGAGGTGAAACGATAGGCTTTTTTTTAGACATTGCTGTTGGCTGGATCGGTATCTGGGGTCGAACTGTTGAGGAAATTATTGGTGTGAACCTGTTTGATGCAGAGACCATGCCTTTGTTTACTGCTTGGTTGAACAAATTTCTTGAAGTCCCCATTATCAAAGAGTGCATACCATCTTGGATTGCTTGAGCACAACAAAGGCTTCCTCAAGAATCTGACAGCTACATCAACCTTAAGTCTTAAGAATCATTTGTGATAGCTCATGCTATGGGGTAACATATGGTTATAGTGATGTATTTTAAGCTACATATAAATCATAAATAATGCATTTGTATGCATATGATCTGTAATTTCTCTTAAAGACTATGTAATAATAGATACAGTATTAATGATGTTGTATTACAAATATTTTGCTAAATTAATCAGCACCAAGAGAAGCCGAAGCGATAGTGTTAAAAAAAAAAAAAAAAAAAAAAAAACTCTTTGGTTGAGTGTAACCATATGAGCGTAGGAATTAGGAAAGGGCTCAAGTTATATCCATCTGGCAGCACTATACAATCCGGAATACCAAAATTGAGGCTTTAAAAAAGAACAAACATACGTCAACCAAGGAAGCCATGACAATGGTATAGGAGCTTTCATGTTTTCCTTAGAGCTAAGTTTTCAGTATCAAAATCTAGAAACAGTTTTAACTTGTTTCCACCAATTGCTGTAGGAAGCCAATAGGACTCGGTTCACACTTTAGTTACGAGTTAAAGGCTTGAGTAAGGGTAGAAGTAACATTATCCATCTCAATGCCATCCTTCTCCATCATTTTAAGGATTTCAAAAGCAGGTTTCTGAGCACTAAGGTGCATTCTAAGCTATAATTAATACACTGGTAAACTTGCAAGGCCAAATTATTTTGGAGCCAACTCGGTAAATGTGTTGTGATATATATCTCTGAGTTTGTCTGCTTGTTTATTTTGTGGTGTGATTTCTGTGGAGTCTTTTGGTAGTGTGGAAATAATAGTTATCAAGAAAATTAATTTGCCTATTTATTGTCCTGGCTCTCGGCTATCCAGTACGATGTTTAGGGTTTTCAGCTGTGGCAATTATTTAGTCATAGCATTTGGACTAATTGATGTAGTCATAAAGAATGTTATGTGCATAAAGTTGGATTTTGACTTTGAATCCCAATTTATACGGGTGTAAGTAAGTACATATTAATAAAATAGAGGTAATTAATCACTTTCCTATAATTAATTAATGTGGCATTGACATATAATTGATATTTATGTTAAGTGATTTTTGTAAGATGAGATCAAATATTAGAAGGAGAAAAAGGAAAAATGACAAGTTAAGAAATTGAATTTAATGACACTCCTACGCACATGATTGGTGGTTGCAAATTTGGTATTCGCTTCCTTATTATAATTTTTTGTTTTTTGACATGAGAGTTAACAGGATCAAGAAGTAAATTTGGGAAGCCCTGATGTAAATGTGGGTTGACCATTCATCAAGTAAGACATCTGCCATATCTATTTAAGATCATACACCCCCGCTTGGTGGAAGGCAAGAATCAAGAATGGCTGAAGAAAGCGTGAAGTTGTTTGGGAATTGGGCAAGTCCTTCTACTCTAAGGGTTAAATGGGCTCTGAAACTGAAGGGAATCCAGTTCGAGTATGTTGAAGAGGATCTCTCAAACAAGAGTCCCTTGCTGTTGCGATACAACCCAGTTCACCAAAAGGTTCCAGTTCTTGTACACAACGGTAGACCGTTAGCGGAATCACTTCTCATCATTGAATATATTGATGAGATATGGAAACATAATCCTCTCCTCCCAGAAGATCCCTATGAAAGGGCCCAGGCACGCTTTTGGGCCAAATTCTTCGACGAGGAGGTAAAGAGAAGAGGTTACTTTAACTATTTTAGCATAGATTATGTTCAAATAACCTATACCACACGGATTACTAGACCTTAGAGATGTTATCAGAAAATCATGGAGTTTATGCATGTGGAAAACTATGATAGCCGACCTAAGCGAAACCAATCAACACAACGATCAGTCGAAAAAATGGTCAAAGCCCTCATTTTATCCCACACACACGTACACCCACACAGATTCTAACATCATCTAAAAGGGCTAGTGATGATTAAACAACCACATAAATAGAGAACATGAATATAAATGAAGAACATGTACATAAATGAAGAACAAGAACATAAATGAAGACATAAATATCAAACATGTTAAAGAATATAAATTAAAACATATATGAGATCTTTTGCTATCTATAACATTTTCAGAGTATTACAACACCCTTGAGGTTGAGGGAAACTTCGAAATATGAAAGAAACATAGAAGAAGTATAGCAAAGATGTGTAGAGAAAGTATGGAAGTGTAGAGAAAATATGGAAAAGAAGAGTAAGAGAAATAAACAAAAGTGTTTACAACCAAGTTCCTCCTCCTCGCGAGAAGGGAAAAGCCTTTATTTATAGATAAAATGGATACAACCACTCATAAAAGAGACATTAAATACAAGACTAACCTTTTTGACTTTTGGGTTTTTTTTTTCTTTTTTACATTAAGTAGCCTACAATTTTTGACCAAACATAATCTTACAATACTTGACTTTTTACAAAAGATACCGGAGATAGTACATTGAAAAGGCAAATTGCCATTTAGTCCACTCTTATTTTATATAAAGGACACAACTATATATTTTAGGACACACAGATCTTTAATCGTCTGACAAGTTGGTAACGTGCCACGAGTCTTCATCCTGGAAGTCGAGACAACCTATTGATTGAATCCAGTCAGCAGGGATTTGTCGGGGAGATGTATCTGGATAAGTATCCGAAGAAATGTCTGGAATCTGAGATGTTTGCTTTGCAGATGTACTGTGTGCATGCATGTATTGTTGTCGCCTGGATTTATGGAGATAGTAATTACGAGACTGCTGAAGCTCTTCTTCCTACACAGTATCTGGCTGTGAGTCCGGGTACCACCATTCTGGATAAGCTGAATCGGTATCGAATTGAGCATTGATGGAACGTATGCATGTATGTTTGGCTTGAAGTAATTTCTCAGTTTAGTCTAGAGGAAAGAGTTCCCACGGAGCATCATCGTGAAAGGATGGTCATAATGCATCTGGAATGATCTGATTTTTTTCAAAAAAGAGTTTTTGAATTAATCTAGTCTCAACAGGATGATCAAACATATTATGGACAAGGTCATATGGATAAGACCGATGAAATGTGACTTGATGCTAAGAAAAATATAGGCCGTCAGATCTGATAGAGTGATGTCTGTGAAAAAACATTATAGACCATGCCATTTTGGTAGACACAGGACCTTTGTATCGGGCAAGTTGGTGAGCAAACACAGATTTCCATTTGTCAAGGATTTTGAACCATCGGAGAAAAGTCATCAAAGAGCGTAATTCAGGGGTTAAGGTTGACTAGTATTGGGAAATTATTTTCAACATATGATGGATCGGGAATTGAATGACAATGTGGTATTGGTGTAACATATACCAAAAGAACCATAATAATTCTTCTGAAAATATGATATCAAGTCTTGGAGGTAAACAAAAGATTTTTGAAAAGGGGAAATCTGGATGGACCCCTAACATATCATACATGGATTGACCACATTTTTCAATGCATTGAAGTTGGTAAGAAAACATGAGGGTGGTAGCATTTTCATCAATGGTACGTGTTTGAACAAGGTCATCGAATTTAGGAGGTATGTCTGAAGTATGGTTTGATGAAGAGGATGATGAACAGGAACTGGACTAGGTTAATTATTGGAACATGAAACATGAAAGAGGTTTGGATCTAGCGTTCATGAAACCAACTTGTTTAGTTTTAGGTCTGGATAAATAATCTGCAATGGTGTTGGTGTGATCTTTGATATGCTGGACGGTGAAGGAATATTTACTGAACCATTCTTCCCAGCGAAGTAACTGCTGATGCGGAACCTTTTTCTTTTGGAAACGTAGCATTTGATCAAAAGACTTCATATCCGTTTCAACAAAGAAATGATGTCCAACAAGGTGGAATTCAAACCTTTCAATGGCATTTTTTACTGCTAATACTTCCTTGAAAGTAGAATGATAATGCTGTTGGTGTGGTTTGAATTGTCCACTCTGGTATCCGCACAAATGTCGTACCTTGTTCTTATCTTGTTCAAAAAGCACTGCATCCCAATGAGTGCCACTAGCATCCGTCTGAAGAATGCGTTTCCCCGAAGAAGGAATCTTAAACGGCTGTGGATGGAAGGATGTGCGCTTGAGACTTTGACTGCATTTGTTTGCTTTCAGACCACTCTGGAGGATTCTTCTAAGCATCGTGAAGGAGTAGTGAAACGAGAAATGTTGGGAAGAAACTGCGTATGTAATTGGCAATTCCAAGAATTGTGTATCTCTTCTTGGTTATGAGACATCTGGGAATTTTTGCAATCATTAGCAATATGAGGCTGAAGATCATACTTGCCATCAGCAATCACCATAACAGAAAATCAATCTTTGTTTGTCCTAACTGCATTTTCTTCTCAGAGAGATGATACCATAAGTGTGGGTATCAGCAAAGTCACGAAGAAGACGTATATGAGATTCCTCATCTTTGAAAAGAGAAGGATATCATCGATATAAATGAGACATGATGCAGAAGGGGAGCAAAAATCTTCGTCATGACTTTTTGAAAAAGTGAAGCAGCGACTTTAAGTCCAAAAGGCATGATGTCCACTAGTAGTGTTGATTGGGAATGCAGAAGCAGTCTTATGACAATCATCAGGTGAATTCCAAGTTGCAAATCCAATCTTGAGAGCAAATTTGGAAACATCTGCATTATGGAGATTTGCAAAAAGAACTGTCTGAAGGCAGAGGAAATATTATCACCGAAGAAAGAAATTCAAGGGGGATAATTGATCACAAGTCTGAGTTTTCTGGCCTGTTCTGCCGTTATTGACATAAAAAGCTCACATGCCCATTGAGAGTCGTGGGTTCAATCAATCCTTGAGAAAAAAGCTAGTACATTCTTGTTGGGCAAGACTGAGAGTTCTATGATGAAGTGCTGCCGGAATGACTAGTTTAGTGGGATTGATATCTTCGCTCTTGATGAATGGAAGACGGATAAAGAAATCCAATTCTTCATAATGGATGAGCATTAGTGAGAAAATCAGCATGAGATCTGCGTAATAGCGGGAAATAAGCTGGGTCTTGATCTGCTCAATAGGATTGCCTTCAATCTGGATAAATTAGGCTATGTGGTCCAGGTTGGAAAAACATCTTGTACCAAAACCATCAGGGAGGATTCTAAGTTATTGAGTTTAGAATAAACATCAAAACCTAGAACCATATCTTTGCCAAGTAGTCAAACCAAGAACTTTATGAAAAATGAAACAGCCTGGGAAAATTTGGAATTAATGGTTTGCTGATCAGATGAGTAGTGAAAGTCTCACTATTAGCTGTGTAGAAATCCTGATGAGGTTTCCACTGAGAGGCTGGAGAATCTTAGGGTTGATAATGGTGAGTAACACTGTATCAAAAATGCTATGACTGAAATGGGCTTGGAGTATTTGGTGGGAAGATTGAACTTTTGCGTGGTATGTGACAAGAGAAGGCTAATGATAGAAGGGATTGTGGTGCTTGCTGGTATGGTAGAAATAGTGCCAATAATTAATCAGAGTACTTAGTATCAGTGGTTGCAAAATGGAAAATAGTGTCTGAAGTGGGTTCGTATCTATGGAAAACCAACTTTCAACATCATCATCAGAAAAATCGATATCTGTGAGCTGAGAAAGTTGTTGCATATTTGATGACTGTTGGGCTTGTTTGGACAATTTTTAGCAAAATGACCCAGGCGGTTGCACAAATAACACCGATTAGCGTTTGCCTTTGCGTTTCCTTTTTCGAAGAAACTTGCGGTTCTTGAAACAACAAAATTTGCTCGGCCGGAGCATTAGGTGGAGAAAACTTGATGCGCCTAGAATGAAAATTCTTCAGGTAGGACAAAGAACATGAGCGATTTAATTTGCATTGATCTGCAAGTTGGTGTTGACAAACCTTTGTCAGCTGTTTAGAACGCTTCATATAATCGTCAAAAAATGTTTTTGAGAACAAAGCTTTTCAGAGCAAGAATAACAATAGTAAATTTCCCAAGAGAAGTGGATCCAAGTTGTTTATTCTGGGACGCATAAGCTTGGTTGCTTCATGACTTAGGGATTGGATTGATGCCAAAAAGGCTTGCTTCATATTATGATCATCATACCCTAAGTATATGATATCGTTTGACCATTTCTTTGTAATGCCTGTCAAGATCTTTCTTTTTTAGAGAACAGCATCGCATCTTGAAATATTCTTCTCTGACTTGGTTCTCATAAAGGTGAGGTAATCCAAAAAATTCATCATACAGGAGATACAGGGCTTGGTTGATATCTGGCATTTGGATGAACAAATTTTGTCTATACTCCTGAAGACTTATCCACCAATCATGGAGAATGCCACCAAATCTAGCTGTAAACTGCATAAGGACAGTGGAGACTTGGGCATTAGGTTTCAGCATCTCAGCCTGTAATCAGGCCTGAAATTCATACATTCGAGTTCTCCATTTGCGTGGAGGAAGATCATCGATGGTAAAAGTATGGAGCTTTGCTGAGGCTATAAAAGAGTCACGTTCAGCCGGAGTATGACGCAATTGTCGATACATAGGCGGAGAGTCTGGAATGGAATCATCAACTTCACGCATCTCATCATCGACCTCAGAAACAACAGTTGGTCTGGACGATTCAGGTTGATGGGTCATCAGTTGGGGATAAACATGTGGTTGTTGATCAGAAGTATCACTGTCAGAGTCAAAGTCACTGTCAAATGATTCATTAGTCGAAGGTATATCGGCTTCTGATTCTGTTTGGAAGGTAGATAGAGAATCTTGAGAAAGACCCGAGGCGGCAAGACGTTGCCTTTCTACCATGTCTCGCAAGAAAGAGCTCATAAAATTGGAAGAGACGGGATTTTTTGAAGAGTCAGGATTAGCAGAAGGTTGGCGGTCTTCCATCATCATTATGTGCATTGGAGCCTTATCCTTAGATAAAGGACGATGAGGCTTAGGAGATGGAGGATCTGAGTGACTGGAAGAGAAAGAGTTAGGAATATCAGCGGATAGGGTCCGCGGTCTAGTAGAATACTTTTCTCGCTTCTTTTGGTCTCGTTCCAACTTGATCTTTTCATCACGTTCTTTACGGAGCTTGGCATATAACTGTTCAGTATTGCCAAAAGCTTGAACAGCACCAGAAGGTATATGAGGTGAGACCAACAGTTGGCTAATTTTTGGGAAAGGGGAAAAAGAGGGTTGTGGCCATGCTGTTGTGGAATCAAAAGGGTTTGGTACCAATGACATTTCAGGGAAAGTCTGTGGTTGTCTGAGTTTTTGCTTAAGATATTCCTGCTGAAGCGATGCCATTTGGGTTTTTAATGACTTCATTTCTGCTTCCTTCTGAAGAAACTGAGCTGAATAGCCATGAGAGCTGCTGACAATGTGCATTAATTCCTGATGGAGCTGATCAATCCGGTTTTGAAAATCAGCAAAGTTTGGTTCTAAGACTAAGAGTCCACCTGATGAGCTACTAAATCCAGTTTTTGTTCAAGTCTGGTCATGGTTTTGTTTTGGGCTAAAGCATTTTCAGTCTGCCAATTGAGAACTGCTTCAGCTTGGGAGAGTTTGGGTGTGGATCCATCAGGCTGTATAACTTTAGAAGGAACCACTTTTGGTTGTTGAGTGGCAGTTTCTTGAAGAGAAGGAAAATCTGTGTCATAATTGAAATGTTGTCCTGTCTTTGTGGGCTCAGGGGATTGGATCATTATGACGGACTGAACAGGTGGAGTATGAGCAAGGGGTGAATGGGTTGGTTTATTTTCTTTGGCAATCCACCGCAGAGACTGTTGATAACATGGTAAAGGCTGTTTGAAGTAAGGGGATTTGGTAGGTTTGGATAGTTTTAAAGGTGGTTTGGGTTGAGGTTTCGGAGGGATGTCCCATGAGGGATTA